CATTCTTGCCATCTTTTATCTTTGTTTATCCTCAAATGATTAGGTCCTTTGTCACCCAGACTGTCGGGAGTCAGGAAATATAGACGTTTTAACAAATTATGATTACATAAAACCACTCAGTGTCGCTAATAATTTGGATTGCATTTGCAATTAGGATGATGACATCCGACTCCTTGGCCAATTGGTAACAACAATATTAACTTTCCATTTATGCCTAAGCAATATTTAAAGCAATTTTTTTTAACTCTTAAGGTGAATTCTAGTCTATATTAATAAGAAATGTAGTTGCATTGTTTTGTTTACTGGAATAAATTCCTGGAAGTTTATAGGCATTATGTTTACTGCAAACAGAGTGGCCTTCTTACCCAAATCAGTTATTTGCTGATTTTCCATAAGTCTGATTTGCATCATTATTAGAGATTGCAGCTTGCATAAAATAACATGAGCATGTTTATGGTAAAACTGGGCTTTGTTTGGACTTGTAACATAGAGTAAAACTGGATATTAGCCAAACCTGATTGGTTTTGTCTTTATTGTTACGGAGCAATGTTGTATGCAGCATAGATACCGGTATGATTAAGACTAGTAACCTAGTGCAGGATTCTTTGTCTTGCTATATTAAGCAAGACATCAGAGTCTTGATTGAGCAAAGCCATATTGGATAGCAGAGGTCAACATTTTGATCCTCCCTGGTGATGTCTATGTCATTTGAAAAATTATACCTTATGATTTGATGGATGAAATAAAAGAAAGGAATATACATACCGGTATATTATGTATTTGTGAAAGGATATAGCATCTGACTAGCAGAGGTCTACTCTTATGGAGGTATAAGCTTAATAATGAATGAAAGGGCTGGAATAATATGGAAGTCAGTAAGTTTCTCTGTAGAATGAACTCTCTCACCCAAGAAGTAAATCCATGTCTCTCCTGGGTCTTTGGGGCAGCTAGAAAGAGGATGTGCAAGCTAGATTTGATGTCTGCATTCAGAATGTAGAGGAATTTCATTCCAAGCAGATGGGCCTTGTTTTCTCTTACAATGGAGTTAATGGGTTACACTTTGCTGATATTGGGAAGAAGCTTCTTAGAAAAGGTAGCCCAATCTTATGCAGTGAGCAACATAGACACAGATTCAGCAGCTGTAATAATGCTTTATTGATTTCAACATTTGAGAAAAAAATCAACTGCATGTTCAATCACTCATACCACTTACATGCCTCCTGCTTGTAGCTGAATTAACCAGCTCAATCTGGGTTAAAGGGTGAAGAGGAGGACAGCTTTATAATTCAGATGGAAGGTGCGGAGTAGTCCAAAAGGAACGGTACAGATTCTCTCTGTATTTTTACACACCAGAATATATTATGTTACACCTCAGCTTTTTTTTTAATCTGTTAGGTTAAACCTGATTTGCTGCATGGCAGGTAACTGTTGTTCTTATCTCTGGTCTCTGATCTTGATGAATTGTATGAGTGCACAACTAACATGTGCTCAGCTCGAGACCCCATTCTTCCATTCCCAGGTAGTGATAACATTCTGAGATTATTATTTTGCCTTTTACTTTAACTATCACACTTGCAATCTCTGGCTGCTTAGCAATTGTAGTTCAAGTGGAAAAATGGAAAGTATATAGACCAAAGACATCTGGGTTTAGTTATCACCTCATTTCCTCCCCTTTTCCCCCCAGCTGCTTTTTGTATTTTGATTCAGGCTACATCATCATACATTTTGAATGCAGACATCAAATCTAGCTTGAACCTTCTATTCATGGTAAGTTTTTTGCACCTTTTCCCACTGGAAAGAAATTCAACTTAACCTATTAAGTGTGAGGAAAAAAATCCACTGTGCTGCATTCATTCGTTATTGTGCCCAACAATTTTGAACTCGTTCCAAGAACTGTAGTAAGCCAAGAACTAAAGCTCAAAGCGCATTTTGTCCACTCCAGCACCATAAGTTGATTAGTACTGAAATTACCTTGTCCAGCTGAGAGCTTATGTGAAAAGAGTAGAATGTCATTTTTCTATAATTTTGATATACATTGCTGAGCAATGCCGTGTTTTATATAAAGACAGTATAGAGAAGTTGCGATATATAATAGAAGATACCTATTTGCCTATCCATAATGTTACTTATGATGATGAAAACAACATGCAGTGCTTTTCTTCCTATAAGAAACTAAACTAGCTTTTTGTTCCTTTATACTTCAGAATGCATCCAACTACTAAGCAGGTCTGCATGTCACAATCTGTTAACCTTGAAGTGCTATAGAATTCTTCGGTCTGCTGCAAGATACTAATCCAGCTTTTGTACTGAAAATTGTCACTGACAGTGGAATACAGTGTGACAGAGGAGTGAACCTGGAGTTTGCATGTAGTATTTTTACTGACCTCACCATGGCGTTGTGGCCGAAGAAGTCTTTCTGTATGACAAAAGGTAGCAAAACTAGAATCTTGGCAAGTTGTTTAGATTTATATAATGGACCAACATTTCTGACTCTGGGCAATATATCTGTATCTATATCTATCTATCTATCTATCTATCTATCTATCTATCTATCTATCTATCTATCTATCTATCTATCTATCTATCTATCTATATAAATTTATATCAATATATATATCAAGGTTAAAAAAAAATAGAAGACTATAATTGTAAATAAAATACCATACAAAATTAAAGCAAAATCCGTAAGTAACAGAAAATTGGGTCAACCAAAAACACGTTCAATTTTCAAAGATGGACTCATATATTATCCTAACCTAATACTTGGGGGAAACTACTCAGTGTTTAAAACTTTCAGGAAGGCTAACGGTTGGCACCATCCAAGTATTAGGAATGGGCGGGGAGGAATCTATCTTAAAGGGCAGCAGCTGCCACAGGAAAGGCATTCTTTCAGGTGATATTGTATCGAAGTGGGGATCTGGAACATGTCCATCCTGTGGGGTGGACAGAGATAGGTAATCTGGCAAATAACCTGTCTTTGGGCCATGTAGGGCTTTGTAGGTGACAATCAGTATGTTGAGTTGCGATGAAAAGCCTTTTAGAAGTTCATAAAATAATGGTGTTACATAGTCACAACCTGGTGTACTCATGACTATCTGCATTGCCACATTATACACCAATTGCAGCTGAAGCCAGTTCTTTGCCATCTTAGGCCCTCATAGCTGGCCGGGGAATTCTGGGAGTTGAAGTCCAGACATTTTAAAATTGCCAAGCTTGAAAACTTCTGCACCAGACACTAGAAAACAGCTCTGATAGCATCACTTGGTTGGCAAAGGGCAAATATGTACAATCAAGTATTAACTGGTATTTCAATGCATGTAAATCCAACACATGAAGATTCAACTTCATATGGATGCTTAAGAAAAGGTGTGAGCCTCAAGCATCCCAAAAAACAGGGATCCAGGCTAGACTTTACTGCCAACTTCAATTCCTCTCTGGAGGAATTGACTGGAACCAATTTTTCCAGAGGAAAAATATGGTGCCTCCCATTCTAAACCGCTCCAGTTTGGTCCAGAAGGATGCCATAACTGATGTATCAAAAATCACTGAGAAATCAAGGGAGGCCAGGATTGATGTACTGCCCCATCTCAAGCCCCCCTAGGCCATCAACAGGTGAGACCAATACCACCTAACTATTATATCTTGGTCTGAACCCAGACTAAAAGGAGCTGAATAATCCATTTCCTCCAGGATATGATATATATCTCTTTCTCCTTGATTAAAGCATTTCCCCCCCTTAAAACCATACATTAATTTAAAAAACAATGATAATTAAGTCATTTAGCTCGGTAACGTAGGGGATATCTGTGAATTAGCCATTTCATTTCTTGATAGGAAATACCATTACCTATCAGGACCGCTGATAGGACAGCTCTTTTGGTGCCATCTGGGTGTCCCTCGTGATATCTTTGTTTTGTACCCCAGTCTGTCTGCTGGAAATGTCAGCTTCTCCTCTGTAATATCCCTTCTAGTCACAAGTATAAAACCATCCCTTAACCAGCAATTCAACAGTCTGCTAAAAAATCTGTTGGATGATTCCTATCACTCTAGTTCCTGCTCTGACCTCAATAACTTACTTAGTGTTCTAACTTACATTTTCACTTCCTTTTTCTTCTATTGTCTATCATTCTCTTTTGCTGGAGTCTGACAAAATATTTCTTCAGATGGTGTACTTCAGCTTCTCAATGGACAGATGCACCTCTATACATTATCTTTTATGTGATGTATCCATTCTTACTACATAAGTTTCACTTCCTGCTTTTTTGGTTTATCTGCTGGTTTATTCCTTAAAGCACAGGCACGTATTGGCCTTCTACTGGCACTGAATCTATTGCTTAGGTCTGCTCCAGTTTGGTTTTTGTTGATTAAGGAAGCCAAATGATGAATCCCTATCTAACTGATCCTAGGATTTTGGTCTGCCATATAAGCCCTATATTTTGGCATCAGATAAATATGTTTATAAAATAAGATAAAACTTTTGCTTCATAAATATATAATGGCAATGAACATTTGTAATAGTGCCTCAATAAACTGGGATCTGTCAGCTAGGATCACAATAAATGGGCTATCACAGAATTGTGGACTGGAAGGCATTTCAATTTGGTCTCCTTTCCTAGCATCCTTGATTCATTAATAATATTTCTATGTATCAGCCTTCTTTGAGATGCAGCAGGTGGAATATAAACTGATTAAATGAATGCGATAATACATTTTTTAAAAAATTATAAAGGACAAGCATGAGTCATACAAACTATTTTCACACAAAGATGATAAAAAGAGAACAAATAACAAACTTGGATGGGCACCCTTTGGCTACAGAGCTTTCTCGTGGAGCCATTTTGAAGCAAGAATGTACAAAACCTCCCTAAAATTAACTTACTGTAATTTACAAATTAAAGAACTGTCCAAAAGCAGGAGAAGTAGACTGAATTTCTGTTTCTCCTATCATATGCTCTGTTTATTTTTCATCCTTTCCTTGTTCTTAGCAGGCCTAGCCTTACCTGCAAATATTAGTGCCTCAGTTTTTCCACTCTGAGGGAGCTGGTTGTTACTTGCTGTAATTTGGTTATGGTAGGACAAGCCTACTGAAGTTATCCTCATAGCTCCAACTTCTGTTGCTGTTCTAGTGAATTCCTGGTAAAATGAAAAGCACTGATGTGAAAAGTAGTATTGTTGTTACTACTAATCATATAACACAGTTCTGTATATGGTAGAATGGACATCATAGACAGAGAATACAAATATAACATGCAGAAGTATGGGTGTTAAAATGGCATTTTTCAATTTTGGCTAAATCAGCGGTTCTCAACCTTTTTATACGGCGACCCCCGGTCACATGGATGCGCCGCGCATGTGCGCCGCACCACCCCATGCGCGGTGCACATGCGCGGTGGCGCCCCATGCGCGGTGCACATGTGCGGCGCTGCCCCCATGCGCAGCGCCGGCCCCTGAGGGGGGAAAATGGCGGATCGCATCGTTTGGCGACCCCCGTAAAATGGTCGTTCGACCCCAAATGGGGTCGCGACCCATAGGTTGAGAACCGCTGGGCTAAATGGTTAATTACATGAACAACATGCTTTTATTATATGATGATTGGGTTGGGATTTAAAAGAGGCCTATGGATAATGTAGGATAATTCTGGAGGAAATCCTTGTAAATTATTAGAATAGCATTGTTGCAATGTGGCTCTCCTTTATAAACCTTTGGGCAGCTTTTTTTTTATTAATAAGTTTTATAAAAATTACAGTATAACCCACCCAGCCCCCCCTCCCTCCCCAACTTCCCAGAGCTTACAAATATGATAATCATAATCTAACTAACATTAACCAACTATATAAATAACCAAGTCCATAATGCACTTTAACTCCCCTTTAACATAAATATAAACAAATTGAAAATAAACATAATAATGAAAACATAAACAAGTTAATATCCTAATTGTTAAACAATACAATCCCCAAATTGTTAAACAATACTAATACTAATATTAATAATATCATAATAATACTCTAAAATTCACTCATAGGCTAAATGAAACTTTTTAGTCCCATATTTATTCTGAATATAATTTATCCATCTTCTCCAAACCGAAGTGTATCTTTCTTGTGATGATCCTTCAAGTAAGCAGAAATCTTAGCCATTTCTGCTAAATTTGACACTTTAAGCGTCTATTCTTTTATAGTAGGCAAACAATCCTTCTTCCAATATTGACCTTCGGGCAGCTTCTTAAGCAAAAAGTTGGTGGAAGAAAGTGAGGGAGGGGAGGAGTGCCTTTGCAATCCACCTGTTTCCTTCATAAAAGCTGGCAGGAAATAAGTTCCTTGGAAAACTCCAATTAATACTTTAAAAGTCATCTTTGGCAGCCAGGATATCCACTCATACATGTATGGCTTTCATCTGGCGTGCACACATCAAAAAAGTAAACATTAGCAATCCTGTAAGAGAAGACGGTGTGTCATGTCACTTTTGTATGCAAAAGGAGCCATTCACCAAGATTCTCGATGGACCAATTGCTCTGCAAAGTTGTTCTTCAATATTGTTATTTGATACCAACTGGGAGAAAACTTTTTCAGTCATCTTGGCCAGATCCTTCTGCCTGATATGTCTAAAGTTGGTAGACTAGTTTCAATAGATGTTAGTCAAGAAATTCTGAGGCTTCTGGGGGCACAACCAATGGCTCTTAATATTTACTCAGTTCATCCCAGCCCCTAGACTACTTTTAAGAGCCCTAACTACCACTTTACAAAGGTAGGGCAGCCAGAGTCCAATCTAGAGAATACACCTTGCCTTGAGTATTTCATCCTTGCACTGGTGAGGCCTAGGCTGGGTGACTGTAATGTACTGCACACATGGGTCTGTGCTTAAAGCATCTCAGACACTCCACTAGTTCAGCCAATTGAGTGTGGAGGCGAGGCATTTAGTTTATAGGACACCAATATTGTAATAGCCACATTTCTTACTAAGTTTTTTTAAAATCCCAAAGGGTTAACTTTAAACTTCAAAGCCTTAAATAGGTTGGAACCAAGTTACTTGAAGGAATATTGTCACCTGACCAGATTTTAAGATGGGCCTCTTTTCATTTATTCATTGCGGTGAGCAGGGCGGATTGGCAAATATAATGGAGGTGGCCTTTGTGTGGGCTATTGTATGGGATCAAGTTGACTCCATTGTTACAGGCTTTAGGTCAGTGGTTCTTAACCTTTTTGAACGAATCGCCCCCTTGAGCGAATGAGGAAGTTGTCATCGCCTCTCTCCCCCAACATAACCCCTCAATCACAACATAGGAAATAATTCTTCAATTTATGCAAATACTTTTTTTGTTTTCTTTACAATTGTCATCAGGACATATCGATGCAAATAATTTATTTCTAGTCTTTTTCCCATATCTCCCATATTCTGGCCAATAGCGCACCACTGTATGGGTAGAGGCTGCTGCGCAACGCGCATGAAGATGCGTATTCACATATGTACGGCGTTCTGTACTGAAGCTAGCTGGAGGAACATTTGAAAACAATTCAATCCACTAATAGCGAGCGATCTGATGTTTTTGTACGACAGATATACAGCCATTCACTGTACGAAAAAGTCTCAAAAGTGTCCCAAAAACTTCTTGCTCCATCGCCCCCATATTGCCCCCTTTTCGTTCCTTCGCCCCCGTGTCGCCCCTTTTCGTTCCATTGCCCCCCTGAAAAATGAAATCGCCCCCTGGGGGGCAATATCGCCCAGGTTAAGAACCACTGCTTTAGGTAACCATCTGAAGAACTCTTGTTAGATCATTTCTTAAGCGTACTCTTGATTTTTACCTGTCATTACTGTATGAGTTTACATTTTAGTTTTATCTGCAGTGGGTCCTTCTTACTGTTCCTTCTATTTATTTATTTGAAGGAATCTGTTATGTTAGCTTTTTTCTATGAGCCTAAATAAATCAAACTAATTTTTTTAGACCGTAGAGTGAACTTTTATAAGCTTCAACTATTGCTGGGAAGTATATCTTTACATTTCCATGCCTGCAACATTTTATTCCTGGATTCCCATTGTTTGAGGGTGGCGGTGGAACAGCCTTTTGGGGGGCGTTCTGTTCAGTTCACAATGCTGGCAAAACTGTAGCTTCATTCTTAATGGTGGCTAGCAATCATTGACATCCCTGGTGCTAAGCAGTGAATCTGTTCCACAAATCCTTGCCAATAAAAAGGGATAAAGACTCCAGTACGCATTGGGAGTATTGGAGATGTCAAGCCTGGAACAGCTGCTATTATTAAGTCATTTCTCATCAGTAATCTGCTAATTAACCTTCTGAAAATAGAAACATTTTTGCTTAGTGGGAAATAATTTTTCAGTCATTGTAATGACTGAGAATTCCCCACTCGGGAACAAGATTGACATCATTACAAATTTCAATCATTCAGTGTTTAATTGTAGCACAGTATTTCAAGTTGTAAGCTTCTCTTGAGTAATATTATTTGCCTTTCGCCAATCTAAGCCACTTGACATATGTGCATAGTGTGACCTCCATAAACTGAACTATACATGTGGAAGACATTCACGGCAAAGCTAACTGAAATGTATTCTATGTATGCTCATCAGTGTTATATTGCAATTACAATTCTGTATGCGTTGTTGGGTATAAGACTCTTCAACCTGAAAGCTACTTATTAAAAGGAGGTAAATACTTATTATATGTCAATTTAATTATTTACTGTATTAATGGCAGTTTGGTATAGTTATTAAGGCATCAGGCTACACACCAGGAGACTGTGAGTTCTAGTCCCACCTTAGGCTCAAAGCCAGCTGAGTGACCTTGGGCAAGTCAGTTTCTCTCAGTCATAGGAAGGAAGTAATGACAAACCACTTCTAAAAAACCTTGCCAAGAAAACTGCAAGGATCCTGTCCAGGCAGTCTCCAAGAACCACACATAATTGAACAGAAGGGGAAAAAAAATATCTCCAAGCAGATCAAAGTACCATTGTTCTTCCTGCAATGTTGATTTTATCACTTTTAAAATTTAATTTTAATTGTTGCAAATCACAAATAGCAATCACTTTGAGTTCATGTGACCTGATAAGCCACTGGAAACCTTCCAAAAAACTGGTAGAAAAATCATGCAAATGATTAGGTGAGTTTTGTACTTGTGTGTTGATATGAATCTACTAATCTTCCAACACAGGCTCTTAATGAAACCATTACAAAAGAGAAAAAGGTATCATTACAGTGACTACAAGCATCAGATTTTGAATATATAATTTATACAGCTCCCCTTTGAAGAATTCTGGCATTCAGCCTCAATACATACTAATTCATTACCTGTAATTTAACTTAAAATCTGAAAGATAGTTGAAGTTTAGGTAGAGAAAAGTACTATAATTGTATTTGGCAATGCTTTGTTTATAAATGAAATGCATTCTTATGTTGTGTATCTGTGTGATACTTCAGTTGTCTCATAATTTCTAATGCTGCTCATACAAATGACCAAAGATGGAACAAGATCATTTGGTCTATGTAATCCAGTATCTTCTACTCTGCTTGCAAGCAGCTTTGTATGCTTTTGAGTAGGGACATCTTCCATCATCTTGGCTACCGAAATGTGCTCAACATGGGGCTGCCTCTGAGAAGTATGAGAATCTTCAATTGGTTCAAAATGTGATGACCCATGTGATTTTGTGCATTTGCACATGTATCACACCTCTCATGGCTGCCAATTTGCTTCCAGATCCAATTCAAGGTGCTGGTTGTCATCTTTAAAGCCCTCCCTGGCCTGGGGCCAGATTATTTGAAGGACTATTTTTCCCCCAGTTATATCTACCCAATCCACTAAAGCAGGGAGGCAAGGGATGTTATAGGTCTCCTCTCCTAAGGAGATCCATGTAGTGGAGCGAAGAAGGCCTTCTCTGTGTTGGCTCCCTCCCTGTGAAACATTATTTCTACAGAAATAAAATTGGCCCCCACTTGACATTTTTTTGAAAGGCCCTAAAGACATGGTTTTGCCAGCCGGCCTGAGGACTCCAGGATGATATAGAGCCCATCAAGTAATTGGATGTTGTTGCTAGAGGGGCGAGAGGTGGGGTTTTATTGGGTCTTGTATTGGGTTTTTCTGAAAGCTGCCTGGGTCCACAATGAGTTAGATGGGCAGCCATATA